CACCTCACCTCCCAGTTACATAACATGTCCCACCCAGTTACCCAACCATGTCACCTAAGGATAATTTATAAAAGGGTGTGGTCAATTAACAGCAATTAGTATGTCGAGCTGTTTCAATTAATGTTGGCATTTGAGTTTTACTGCATGTGTTTTCAAAAATCAGATGTTAATAAAACTCTGGTCACTGACCAGAAAGTACACAGTTAAGGGGTTCCTGTGAGCCATAAACTGACTTTCTTGTGCATTTAAAAAAACAAAGAATAGAAAAAGCCAAGTCATATAACCTATACATTTATGTTATACCCAAATATTAAATATATAGCTAACCCTTAAAGAGATGCTTCCTGCATTGCTGTCTTTTCATCACAGAACATCATTCATTTTCCAATGCAATATTCCAAGCATTGTATGCAAAATAAACTATATGCAGATAAAACACATTGAGAATAGAAAAATAAATGACTATAATAAAAATTAAAATGCATTTCAGAATATGAAGGTTGTCACATTGCCTCATTGGTAAATGTTTTTTTGTGTGTGTGTTATAAATGGCATTATCTTTGGTGCCTAACCTTGTCTTGGAGTTTGAAGTGCGTTACAAGTGGTGTGAATAAATGACTCTCGCCGTCGCTCATTATTATTATTTTGATGAAGCTTTGCCACCTGCTTTTTCGAATAGGTTCTTTGTATGCAGGTTTGTGATCAAAAGCTGTTCAAGCTCTCCATTGGCAAGTACTGGCTGTGAAAAGGTATCGTACAGTCACCAGTCTGCACATAATGGCATTGTCTATCCTAAGTAAGGTCAAGAAAACATAGCAATGAGATGAGAGCTGTGCATTTCATAGAAATTATTTGTGTATTTTGAATTATAAAAAAATAAATGTGTTAATTATTAGGAAGTGTTTTAGATTTGTGCCTCCAACAAAAGAAATAGCACTATTCCATTACACACGCACATACACGCACACACACATATGTACACACGTGCACACACTTACACACACATGCACTCATGCACACACACACGCATATATGCACTCACCCACACAGAGATATATGCCCAAATCCCTTCCTTGATCCCTTTCCATTCTTTTAACTTAACCAAAACCCAAAATCCTGATTCCCCTACCACTTATCTCCCCGCTTCATATGCTCTCCCTCATGTAGAGTTCTGAACCACTTTCAGAGATAATTTGTTAATTTACCCTATTGTCTTTACCCAGCTGGGCTGCAAGTAGGGATGTATTTACTATGAGGCAAACAAGATATTTGCCTAGGGCGGCACTTTCAGGGAGGCGGCAAAAAACGACACCCAAGCGCAAGTGCTTTGTTAGCCTCATGTCATGGGGGGGCCCAAGAGCTGGCCGGCTTGCCACCTTAGGGCCTCCCCGAGGCATTCACCTGCTTAGAATCTAGCAGGGTGGTGAGGGAGTGCTGTCTTCTGAGCTATTCTTGCTCTGTTCCCTTGCATACCCTGCTGTGATGCTGGGAGTCGGAATATGACGTCACTTCGGCCCCGGGAGTGTCTGTATGTCAAATCAGGGAGGATGTGTGTGTCTGTCAGTGAGTGTATTTCAGTATATCTAAGAGTACGTACCTGTCAGTGAGTGTGTTAGTGTGTGTCTGTCAGTGAAAGTGTGTGTTGGTTAAACAGTATGTGTGCCAATTACTGTCAGCTGTCATTGAATATATGTCAGTGCATGTATCAATAAGTGGGTGTGTTTGTCAGTCAAAAAAGTGGCATTGACACGAAGTGGTGGAGCAAATTAAGATTAGGGCGGTGCCTGAAGTTAGTCATGCCTAAGGCAGCACAAATCCAAAATTCACACCTGGCTGCAAGGTGTGCAGGCATCCATGGCACACAATATCAGGGCAACCATTGAGGCAGCTCGCCATCTGGTACAGAATGCCAGGGCAACTATTTAGGCAGCTCTCCATTTACTTCATTGACTGTTGCTGATTTACAGTCAATGTTGACGTTTGTGTATAGAGTGGAGTGGTAAAAATGAAATCTCAATCACATGGGGCACCAAGTCTTGCACCCAGGAGTCACCTACACATATCTCTCCCCTGCCTTTATGAATACTAAAATGGCAAGTTCAGGTTACCTACTGTTATTTGAGAGATTCGAGAATAATACCATATTGTAGTTCTCTTTTTGACCTTTTTGACTTCTTGAGAATTAGAATAGAATTCTCTTGGCCAGAAGGTTTATCAGCATTCAACATCTTATTGGATCTCGACAGAGACAAAAGTAGCAATTACATTTCAACACCTCAAATATCCATAACGTATGAAATATTGTTGTATTATTTATTTGTCTTTTGAGAAGTTACTGTTGACATAATCTAATGGGTTTTAAATGAAAGAGCCCTGAGACAAATTAAAATATCTTATCTTACTACAGTAGAACACGCTAAATTTAATAATAATAATAATGTAGGGTTACTAATATTGAATGGGAGGACTGAGGATTTCCCCTGTCTTGTCATCACCTGTTCAGTCGGATGAGGGTTAATATTGAAATGGGCGATACTGCAACAACCAATCTATTAAGTCAAAGTAATCAGGAACTCCACATTTCTTAGTAATATCCAAGGTTAATTGTTTGATTGCATGTTAATTAGAGAAATTCTATGGGCCTAGAGGTACACATTTGACACCTCTGTTTTATTTATTCATTCAAAAACAATTAATCACTGGTTCGCTTGTTTCCGAAAGCACCTTGTGTGGCGCAGTTTGTTTACTGTAATGTCTCTCGGAAGATTAATCAATGGCATCAAACCCAATGACTGATTACTGCAACTGTCTACACTAGAAGAGCTTGCGCATTGTAATTCACAGGTAAAATAGCACAATAATTTTATTAACTTAAAAGGAAATGCCAATGAAACTATAACATCGTATACTTTTGAGCCATGTCGGCAAATTACACACTTCGTCCAATAATGAGTAAAATAGAGACTGTAATTCAATTTTCAAAACCACTTGGCATACCTTGCGTGTTCTGCTGACATGAAATAAGGGGAGGTTCTGGATAGTATCAAACAAAGAGTGAAAATACAAAGACGTCCTCAGCTAAAAAGCTGCTGATGTATATAATCCCTTTCCAGCTGGCCAGAGACCAGCGGCTAGCTTGTCATATCACTGAATGCTCTGTTCCATCAGGAAGTCTTCCTTTCAACAAAAGAAATATAGAGTTTAAGTGCTGAGAATCATTTCTTTTGGAACGCGCAGATAACTTCTGTACCGACCGTAGTCGCGGGGACAACAATTAACTCTGATCCAAAATACCAATTGCTTTTTTTTTCTAAACTGAAGAAGTCAAATTAAAAATTTACCTGTTCTTGAGTCTTATTACACAGCATTTAGTAGAAATCTATAATGATAAGGTGGAGTCTACATGTGTTTATTTTTAGTCAGTGGAAATTCTTTGTGATAACATAAATGGTAAATCTTAGAAAAAAAATTAATGTATTTTTTTTTTTTTAAGACTTTGATGTTGGTCAGTGTTTGACCTATCACTCATCTTGTTCGCAGGAGGAAAAACTCTTCTGAAGAAATGTGTGTTGCTGCGGTAATGCACAAAGGTTTAATTTCTAATTTCAGTTCTACTAGTCTCACCACACAGAGTACACACAGTAAGTAGAAGCATCCTGTTCTTGGTTAAGTGTGGCCGTACATAGTTTCGGCAATGTTTAATTTGTACGGACACAAATGAAGTATTTTTTATTTTTTGGAGCAATATATTCTAGTAACTATGAGGTAACAGAATCGTTATAATAAACAAGAAATAAAAAAAACAAAAAAAAACAAACAGCATAATCATTATAGTCAACATGATCACCAGCTTTTAGAGGAAGCAAACATAAACTATAAATGACAGAAAGGCAAAAGAAAGAAAGAATAGGGCCCCTTATTTAGCCTTGACCTGCAGAGAGTCCAAGGAGGGTGGCTTGCATGTAGTCCTGCTGTTGGCTGAGAGGAACGTGTATAGGGATCTGCTCCAGCTCCTGTCTCTCTCCTCCCATACTGCCTGTGTCTCCGTCACCCCCGCCTCGCTCCCTCCCGTACGGCACTTTCTCCTAGCCTGGCGATATCACATGGGCCAGGTTGAGCTCTTAAAGGGCTGTGGTGCCCGACAGGGCTCCTGTTTAGCAATTCACCCAACGGGCCCTCATAGCATGCGCACCGGCTGCACCGGCAGTAGTTCCGCCCCTGGGGTCAGAGTCCATGCAGTCAGTAGACATTTGTAAATAAAAACAAACAAACAAACAGGTTTCCTTGGTCTGCCTCTGTCTTTACCATCTGAACACATCTGTCTCCATTGAAACTGACCATCACTTAGCACTTCTTGCAAACTTGACTTACATCAAGAAAACCACGCATTTGCCATTTCATTGCTATAGCAACTCCACCAGTATAATATTTTTACTCAGAGCATGTGACATAGAAACATAGAAACATAGAACGTGACGGCAGATAAGAACCATTCGGCCCATCTAGTCTGCCCAATTTTCGAAATACTTTCATTAGTCCCTGGCCTTATCTTATAGTTAGGATAACTGTGTTAACCTCTACCACTTCAGCTGGAAGGCCTTTACCTGTGTTCACCTGAGCAAGTTGTTTTTTGTGTTTTTATAACAGCGGACTTGCCAAATATCTCATTAATTTATTGAAAACTAAATACCCTCAACTTATACATAGGATTTAGTGCTTAAATTTAAAAGATAAAATATATTGTTATATAAGGGCTTAAAATGTATTTATACATTCCCCAGACTGGAAGACAGCCAGAGGATACAGGACGTAGAGCTGTCGGGTGCAGAGCTGCCAAATTCAGAAGGAAACATGCAAAGGCACTCCTACCAATTTTAATGAGATTAAGTGGTAATGGGGTTATGGGAATGTGAGTGTTCCTTTAAAATGTATTTTATAGAGTCTGAACTAAACTTTAAATATTGTGCTCTAAAGGAAGTCCCGGTTCCTGTACTACTGGAGTGTGATGATACTAACTTTGACTGTAGAGGATGTCAGCTTTTTTGTGTACAATTAACCATTTCAACTGTTTTACAGCTGGTATCCAAAGTGATCCACTACTACATGCTGTTATCTGCTACTACATGCTGTTATCTGCTACTACCTGCTGTTATCTGCTGCTACTGATTGATTTCCACTACTTCATGCTGTGATCCACTACTACATGCTGCAATCCACGACTTGATGCTGTGATCCACTACTTTATGCTGTGATCCACAACTTCATCCTGTGATCCACTACTACATACTGTGATCCACTACTGCATGCTCCAATCCACAACTTCATGCTGTGATCCATGACTTCATGCTGTGATCCACAACTACATGCTGTTATCCACTACTACATGCTGTGATACACTACTTTATGCTGCAATCCACGACTTCATAATGTGATCCACGACTTCATGCTGTGATCCACAACTACATGCTTTGATCCACTACTTTATGCTGCAATCCACGACTTCATGCTGTGATCCACTACTACATGCTGTGATCAACTACTACATGCTGTGATCCACTACTACATGCAGTGATCCACTACTTCATGATGTGACCCACAACTACATGCTGTGATCAACTACTTCATGCTGTGATACACAACTTCGTGCTGTGATCCACGACCTCATGCTGTGATCCACAACTACATGCTGTGATCCACTACTTCATGCATTTATCTATTGCTGTGTACTATTAAACACTACTAAATGCTACAGTCCACGAATTCATGCTATTATCCACTACTGCGTGCTATTATCCACTACTGCTTGCTATTATCCACTACTATATGCTGTTATATATTACTACATGCTGTTATCTATTATCCACTACTTCATGCTGTTATCTATTATTCACTGCTGGTATGTTATTAACTATGGCATGTACCCCTCATCATATATTGCACACATTATTTACCACCTTATATTGTACATATAATTTAAGCATTTCCTTATAGTTTACAGATAATGTAACTTTCTTCTTATGTCGGGTACATCATGCAATCATTGTTTGATATTGTGCAGGAGAAAACACTGCTTGTGTGTGTGCCCATGTGTGTGTGTCGATGCCATTGATCCCTTTAATTATGCATAACATTCTCTTCTGTGTGATGAATATAGCATTCAGTAAACCACTAATAAAGAAAATAATAAGGTAAATATATATAATAAAAGGAATTGCCGAGTCAGAATTTATATCATGGAAGAATTTAAAATGTTGTTAAGAAAGGCAAAAGATCACAAAATGAAAGGATTGTCATTAGATCAAAAGACATCAGTAAGATATAATCATATGAAATCTCTGTAGCAAACCAAGAAATTAATAAGTAATGACATAAGAAGAACAGAATAAGTTGTCTAAAATGCATAATAATGATAGATGAGACAAATGGGAGGGTTTGGAAGTGTTCTGAGATAAGACATAAGACGATGATTGTACTAAGGGGCAATCATTCTCAGCAGTGGCAGTACTAACGAAGAGAGAGCAATGGTGCAAGAATGTTTGGCCCCCCTATCGCAAGGCTTGCCAAAAGGTAGATCTCCATCTATTGTACAACTTCCACAATGCTTTACCCCCTGGGGATCTACCTTGTGCCCAGCCTTGCAGGGTTGTATTTAACAACTGAGCAGTGTTTGTGTGTTTGAATGTAAGTATGTTTTTGTATGGAGTATGTGTGAGAGAAGGTAGGGGTGTGTTTGTGTGTAATGTTGGCATTTTAATGTGCCTTTGTGTGTAGTGTTTTTGATGCAGAGGTTTGTTTATATATAATGGTGTGGTTTTTTTTAAATACAGAAATGTGTTTGTGTGTAGTGTTTTTGATGCAGAGGTTTGTTTATATATAATGGTGTGGTTTTTTAAATACAGAAATGTGTTTGTATGTAGTGTTGACGCTAGAATGCAAGGGTGTGTTTGTATGTAGTGTTGGCATTTGAATGATAAGATGTTTGCACATATGCACACTGCCACACACACACCTACACACACACACACACACACATATACACATGCAGATAAAATACCTACACACACACACACTCACACACACATATACACATGCTGATAAAAAGACAAACAGAAACACACAATGACACACATAAAGATTAACAGACACAAACACTACCATGCATACAGATACACGGACACAAACAATGACACACATGCAGATACACCGACACACAGACACATACACTGACACACATACAGATGCACACACTGACACACATACAGATGCACAGACACACAAAAACGTACAAGTACATACACATGCAGGTCAAACTAGTAATTGTTACATACTGTACTATTTGACATAGTGCTAGTTTTATAGTTATTATGTACTGCAATGTCTGACATAAACTGGCTATACAGTAATTACATACTGCGCTATCTGACATAGTGCTGGCTATATAGTTATTATGTTCTGTTTTATCTGACATAGTGCTGGTCATACTGTTATTTTGTATTGCCCTATCTGACATAGTGCTGGTTATATGGTTATAACTTACTGCGTTATCTGACATAGTGCTTGCTATATGGTTATTATGTACAGCGCTATCTGACATAGTGCTTGTTATATGGTTATTACATACCTCGCTATCTGTAATAGTGCTGGTTATATGTTTATTATGTACGTCGCTATCTGACATAGTGGTGGCTATATGGTGATTACATCCCTCACTATTTGACATAGTGCTGGTTATATGGTTATTATGTACTGCGCTAACTGACATAGTGCTTGTTATATGTCTATTATGTACTGCCTTACACCCCACCCCATCGGCCTTACCCAAGCGCTCTGGTTGCTGTTGGAAATACAACAAAAAATAGTGTAAATGGGGGACCAGCTGTAAGTTTAAGCACGAATGCTCAGTGCGTGGGGGCACTCACTCAGCTTCCCGCTGTTTCAAGTGGTCTCAAAAGGGGAGGACGCCGGTGGACGTCGGCTCAATACTCCCGTGGCTAAGCCGTTATAGGAACCGCAGGGCAGTGCGGGAGGAGGCGACGTGTAATTCGCTGCTTCATTATTTGGCTATATGACTTTTTATGTGCGAGTGCTGCGGGTTCGAAAGTGTGTACACACCTTCTCCAAACCCTGGAATTGGTCTCTCGGTTCTTTGGGGTCCTGCTCGCCCCTGATAAGATGGTGGGTCCTTCTACCTGCTTGAGTACCTTGTTGATTAAGATTGATTTGGTTGCAGGGGAATGACGTTTGCTGGAAGATAAGGTGTTGGACCTGCACGGCTTGGTCTCTGCTGCCAGGTCACTCGAGACAATTCAGTTCCGGCACCTGCAGTCGCTCTTATGGCGAAGGTGTTTCATCGCTGTTTGGCAGCGGCTACTTCAGGGGTGGATCGCCCTCATCATCATGTGCGTGTCACTCGTCCTTTGTGCGAGGATTTGGGGGTTTGGTCAGTCTTCCTGGACGGGTTTAGTGGTAGTTCATATTGACAGGCACCAGAGGTGTCCAATGCCGAGCTCCATTTATTTACCAATGCCACAGGTGCGGTGGGTTTTGGGGCCATCTTGGGGACCCACTGGTGTGCTGAGCCCTGGTCGGATTCTTGGCATTTTTCGGGGTTGACTAAGAACTTGGCTTTCTTGGAGCTCTTTCCTATTGTGGTGGCTGCAGAGATCTGGGGTAATCTTCTCAGGGATCGTAGGGTGATAATATCTGGGTTGTGCAGGCCATCAACAATTTGTCTGCATTGGTTCGTCTTCTGCGGTGCCTGGTGCTGCGCTGTTTGATTCTGAATGTATACTGTAGGGTTGTACATGTGCCTGGAGTTGTTACTGTTACAGTGGATGCCCTCTCTCATTTTCAGTGGTGTGATTTCAGGGCGGCGGCGCCCAAGGCAGACGGGATGGGTTTCCCATGTCCAGTGGATCTATGGGGCTTTGGGTTGACCGAGTAGCTTCGTGGATCAGTGGTTCTGTCTCATAGCCCACTTGGCAGCGTTATGGTAAGGCATGTAGTGAGTGGTTAGCATTCGAAAGGCAACTCGGTGGCTTTCGGTCACATGGTGATTCTGGGAGGCCTTGGGCTGTTCTTCCTCGGCTGTGTCTGGGAAGTTGTCTGGGCTGAGCTTTTGGTTTAAACTTATCAGGGTGTCGTACATTACTAAGGATGTCTGTGGCGGAACCAGCCTCGCCACTGGACATTGGAGAAGACTGATTGCCAGCCCCCTGCCATGTGACTATGGCCCCTGGGATGTATTGCCTGCTCTCCTGTACTGCTGAGGATTGCTACCAACTAGGTGGATTTGGCTATGGAGCTTGTGTAGTGCCCTCTGTTGGTAGCAACAGTAATATGCACTACCTGAATAGCAAGACTGGTAATTTGCATATTAGGGTAGATTTGCATATTGCTAATTCTGCATGCAGGAGAGACATTTTGTGTTAATTATGGTCTTCCCCACCCATTTATAATATTATGTTATAATAAGTCACTGTATGGTGTCTGCTATGATTTGATTGTTTGTAATTTTATTGAGTTTTCACAGCAATGTTAATGTAATGACCATATGGGCTAGTCCCAAGTAAAATAAAGTTTTAGACAGTTCTACTTCACCCTCAATTTGGAGTCCTGTCTCTTATTGGGGGAATCTGCAACGAGGGATTGTTATGCTCTGCATATTCCCTTGCTATAATCACTCCTAAGCTCTTTTAAGAGCTCGTTCCTGCGTCGCTCTGAAGGAAGAGAGGTTCGGTCTGCGGTGGTTGTGGTGTCGGCTAGAGTGCTTGGAATCCTCAAGAAGCGCTAGGAGCATTCATCAATGGAGGTACCCAGTTGGGGTGCCAGGTGATCTGTTACAATGTCCTAGTGTCATTGGTTATGAGGGCCTGGCAGAAAGGGCCTAAGTGTTCTGATTCTCGGAGGCTGGTTTCCGGCGCTCTTATGGTGGGCATATTCTCGGTTCTGCCTCTGGTTTGTTCCTCTCCATTTGAAGTGGCATTGTTTCGGTTGGCATTCTCCTTCGCCTTTTTCAGGGCCAAGCAGGTGGGCGAGTTGGTGAGTCCATCCAAATCTGTCCCTGGGGGTTTGTTATCGGGGGATGTGTTTGGCGAAGTGGATGCAGTGAGGTTTCTGATTCACAGGTCTAAGACCGATGTTCTGGGTTGCGGTACTTGGGTCACGTTACGGAGCATCCCTGGCTCTATGGTGTGTCCTGTGGCATGTCTTTGCTTTCTGGGAGATTTCCAGGCAAGGGTCCTTTGTTGGTTCACAAGGATGCCAATTTCTTGTCCGGTTTTCAAATTATCAGGGTTCCGCATGGTCTTGGAAGTTTTGGGGCTGCCTAGTGCAGAGTTTGGGGGACACTCCTTTTGGATAGGGGCTGCTTCTGAGGCATCACACCTAGGGTTGAATGAGGAGGTTATCCAAAGGATTGGGAGATGAGAATCTGGGAGGTTTAAATCAAATGTTTGTGCAACTGGACTGATTCTGTTTCCCCTTTTTTCATTATAGGTGCCGGGAAGCGAGTATGGGTCATCGGCCATTCTTACATCCATTGGGCGCAGCTGTGGGCTCAAGTTTACCCCGGGGGATTACAATTGGGCCTGTCGCCAGTGGTGGCAGAAGTCCGTTGGTTCGGTACCCGGTGGGAGCAGCTGCTGCCCGAAGTGGTCAGTTTAGCCGGCCTGCTCAGTGTTCCTGATGTAATTTTAATACATGTTGGGGGAACCGATCTTGGCACTGTTCCGGTGTGGGATCTGGGGGAGCAGATCCAGAAGGATTTGGAGGAGGTCTGGCTCTGATTTCCGAGGGTGTTCCGAGGGTGCTTTCTCTGACTTTTTGGTGAGGGGCTAGGGACCCTAGAACTTTGGAACGGGGTAGAATTAAGCTCAATAAGAGGGTTTCACGTTTTGTGAGGGGACTGGGGAGGGCTCACGGTGCGTCATCCCATCTTTGAGCATAATGTTTCTATTTCTTTCCGTAGTGATGGGGTCCACCTGACAGATGTTGGTCTGGACTTATTTAATTTAGTTTGGCAGGAGGCTTTGAAGGAGGCCATGGCTGTGGTGGTTGGGAGGCCCCGATGATTTAGGGATAAACCAGCGAGTCTTGTGGCGATATATGGCCCTTGTCTACTGGGGATTGGACCAGCGGCCCGTGGAAAGTGGATGGGTAGGGCTGTTTCTCCCCTAACCTCGGGTACAGTGATGGATAACGGACGTACCCAATGAGCCAACTAACCAGCTAGTGGTTAGCATTACGCAATGGTAGGCTCAAAAAAGGCCTTGTGCTGGTTGGAACGAGGGGGGAGGGGACAGCTTTCCTTAAGTTATGGTTGGTTAGCAAGGTGGTACTCAGTGACGTATCTATTAACTGAGTAATTATGTATACTGTATTTTATGTTATAAAGTTTAAAGATTTATATATTTATATTTTAATAAAGTTGTGGCCTATTTTCTTCCAAATCAAAGTCTGGTGTGTTTCATTGAAGCAAGGTTGGGTTTATCAAGGAGTTAGGTTTATGCTTATACACAGTTACCCTCTACCTACGCACAAGTGCTGGTTATATAGTTATTATTTACTGCGCTATCTGACATAATGATGGTTATATAGTTATTACGTACAGTGCTATCTGACATAGTGCTAATTAGATTATTATGTTTGGTTTCTATTAATAAATAACAGTTTGATTGGAGCACTCTCCTCTTTGTATTTTTCCATAACACCATATGTATTGTCTTCCAACGCCTTCCAATCCTCCAATAATCTAATATTTTTTCAGTATTAAAAAAAAAAACTTCTGTCACTCTATGGCTGTCTTTCTTTCATCTGACTCTGTTCTCTCATTTCTCCCTTAGTCTCTCCTACAAACACTCTCTGTCTCTTTCTCTCTCTCTCCCTGTCTCTTTCTTTCTCTCATTCTCCCACCCCTTATCTCACACTCTCTCCCTGACTGTCTGTCTCTCTATATGTTTTATTATATTTATCTTCCTGACATTATTTTATTCTCTGCAGTACTTGAGTATCGAGCACTTTTATGACAGTGTTAGACATTTATTTTCACAAACATTTTATGAATTGTTGCCAATTGGCCTAGAGCTAGCTGCCATATCAAAGACATAGCATTTGTCAGCAATAAACTAAACTTTCTAACAATCCCACCTGCTTGCCTTTCCAAAGGGTGTCAAAGGGAATAATGCAGACAAGGAGCATGACTGATGGGAAAAATGTAGTTCTGAAACATGAAAGCTTGCAGTGAGATTGTTGCTGTGAATGGGCAATTTAGCTTCCGAGGGTGAGCACTGTAATCTTAGAATAAACCTTTTTTTTGCAAATAGAAGGATGTCTCACCTTCAAAACAATTTGTCCCAGATCCATTTTGTAAAAGACCTATTTTAACTATTATTTTCTGACACTGGAGCCATTTAGAAAGACGAAGAAGAAAATAAAACAGACTGCTGTAGAGAATCAGTTGAAATATACTGAAAGGTAATGTCACGAAAAATTGACAGTTTTATACAAAAAAATACAAATAAATAAATCGTGTTTGAGTTTGTATTAAAATTGATCGATTTTGGAAAGTTTTTAAAATGTTCAATGAACATGTCGTGAGTTAATAATAGCTCATATTATGTTTTTATTTTCCCATTTTTAATCAGTTACATATACTTAATGCAATCCGCACAAACTGGGACTTTACGAAAGGAAAAACAGATATTTAGAACAAAAGTCTAAAGAGTCCTTGAAATGAGCCTGGCCGTTCGCTTCCGTACACCATGTGCGGCTAATTCACTGAATTGTAGGGAATTAAAAAACACACTGAAAATAAAATTCTCAAAAAGCCGAGTGGTGACTGGAGCCTCGTTGAAGATTATTTTAGCCTCACCTTTACAATTCAGGTTTCAATTTTGTAGAATTCAATGTTTAGTGAATCAGTGTTCATTTTGTCGACTAATAATTTTAGTCAACTTTTAGTCGACTAAATATTTTTGAGATTTAGTCGACTAGACTAAAACTAAAACAATTCAGATGTCTAAAAAAAAACAAACCAGGGCTTGGGAGAAAGACACTTAGAGGGGCTGGGAGGACACAAAGAGACACAGAGGGGCTTGGGAAGGGGCAAAAGAGACAGAGACTTTAACTAAACCCATTACATTTTAGTTGTGTCACCTAAAATCTACTGGAGATTTAGTCGACTAAAACTAGACTAATGTAAATATGCCGCCAAAATTAACACTGTAGTGTACATTCCTGTTTGTTATTTATGACTCTACAAATAAGAGTGGGTGAGGTTAATTAAAAGTAGGAATACTTCTCCATCCTATAGATCATTAAGACATCCATTTGCCTAGATCTCAATCTGTCATATTTCACGAATATACTTTTGTTATTTCTTAATAAGACACTTGAAATAGAATTGATTCAGCCTATCTGGAGGATTTAGCCAGGTTCAGTTTGAGTAATTTAGTCACTAATTACATGATCCTGCTGTTTTTTTATTACCTTTTTACTAATAACATACTGATCAGGCTGGAGATATGGCTGATAAAAGCATGTTGAGTAACATGAACCAAATATGGTTTAATTTCTAGAAGTACCCAGGAGTTTATGGGAGCCATATTCTTGGTGACGACCTGATATTTATTGCCTCTGCATTCTCTTTGGCCACATTAGACATTTATCATCTATGAGGGTCGCCATAAACTAGACTGGCACCATAGATGGCATCCTGCCACCTCCATGTATATAGTCCAAAGAGGCTGATGAAGAGCTCTCATTTTCCAACCAGGAGATTTCACGGAAAATCTATTCTGGAAAGTTAAATTCAAATACCTGTGAACTGCGTAACGTAATTTGTACAGTTGTACCTGGTAAAAAGAGAAATGTTGTCAAACTATATTAGACATTTTGGAGCCTGGTTATACTACTATGGCTGTAAAAAAACAAGAATTATGCACATATGTTAATTAACTCAGTGACTCCTGACCCAATCTCAAAAAAACACCAAAAAACACCAACACACCAAGTTTTATCAATATCATTACTGGGCCATTCATAATCCCTAAACTATTATCTATTGATGTTCTGTGAGGCTCAGTCAACCTTACTGGGTCCCATTGGGTCCTTTGAACTTAGGTTGTGCTTGGTGGAGAAGGGCATTTTGTCAACATCATTGATATAGTCTCGTGCCAACAGGATAATATATTGTGTTTATCACTGCTTGCCCCTCCATTGTTAGTGGCATAATGAAAGCCAGTCTGTATATCTGTTTTGGAAAACTCTTTGCCAACTACTTGTTACTGTCTTGATCTTGTACCCGAACCTCAGACTCTCGCCTTCAGGACTTCTTCATGGCTGTCTTCTCCTTATGCAATGTCCTCCAGTTCCACATTTGTCCCTTCCATCTCTCCTGACCTTAAAACATCCATAAAAACACACTTCTTTAGAGAAGCCTATCACCCAACTGTTAACTACTCATCCCTTATAAGTTTTCTTTTGCTGTCTCCTATCTATTGTGCTCGCTCTTCCCAAATGTCCAAATTATTTTCCTCTGTGTATTTGTTCCATAATCCTTTTAGATTGTAAACTCATTTGAGCAGTGCCCTTTTTACCTAATATTCCTGTACATTAATTGTTTGTCTCTGTGTATCTATTGTAAATCAAATATGTTGGTGCTATATAAATAACTGTAACTTGTAACTGTAATTTGTGTAATGATGTCATAGAACTTATGGAAGCAGAGGGTAAATATATATTGTCCCAACCTTTACACCCTCCCACTGCACTCACACACTCGCACCACACTTATACCCTCCCACTACAGTAACACCCTACCACTACAATAACACCCTCCTACTACACTTATACCCTCTCACTACACTAACACACTCCCACTACACTCACACCCTCCTACTGCACTCATACCCTCCCACTGCATTCACATCCTCCCATTACACTTATACTTTCCCACTACACTTACACCCTCATACTACACACATACCCTCTTAATACACTCACACCCTACCACTACACTCACACCCTCCTACTACACACATGCACTCCTACTACACTCACACCCTACCAGTACAGTCATACCCTCCAACTACACTCATACCCTCTCATACCCTCTTACTACACACATACACTCCTAACACACTCCCACTACACTCACACCCTCCTACTGCATTAATGTCCTCTTACTACACTCACACCCTCCTACTGCACTCATACTCTCCCACTACACTCAAACCCTCTCATTACACTCACAAACCACCAGGGGTCACGTCCTGGGGAAAAAAGTGCGAGAACTCTCCTCCACCCCAAAAAAACACTCGTATGCATATATAAATGCGTGCACACATTCAGACACACACATACACTCACAGACACACACATACACTCAGACACTCACAGACGCACACACATACTCAGACACTCACACAATGGTGTATTTTAATTTTGTGCTGCCCTAGACATGACTATACCTGAGCACCCCCCTAATCTAAATTTACCACCCCTTCCTGTCAAGGGCGCACCGCCACCTGATTAAGAAGATTCCACCTTTTCCTGCTCCTTTTAAAGAAATACTATAGTGCCAGGAAAACATAGCTGTTTTCCTGGCACTATAATTCCCTATAGTTCCCCCCTCCCTTATGTCCTCCCCTCCCCCACTCGACATTGAAGGGGTTAAAATCCTATGGGTATTTAGCAGATGCTGGATGTTCTCATTACCAGGGTGAGGACGTCCAGCATCAGTTAGGCGACTTTTGGTCATTTAACCACCCAAAAGTCCCTCTAGTGGCTGTCTGGTAGACAGCTAGAGGTGGAGTTACCCCTCAAGGTAATTATTGCATTTTCCGAGAAACCGCAATAATTA